GTCAGTGCGCTTCATGTGAATTTCAGAAGCTCGACGCGCAGACTCTATGCGCGCCTCCAAGCTGCGGTCACTGCGTCGCGAAGCCGCAATGTAGGCACTGCATGAATCAGACAATGCACCCAGGTCTACTAGCAGGATTAGCATACCGCTCTTGATTCTCTCCGTGAGTACGCTCAGTCTTGACAGGTCTGGTCGCAGTAAAAGCTCGTCGTTCAGCCGGCATGGTGAGGTGAGGGAAGGCCGCGGGATCCAAAAGTAGGAAGTGCGATGTTAAGGTGGGAGAAGCAGCTGGCAGTAGAAGGTGTGACACGGGGAGTGGCGACTCCACAGGCGCCGTGGGGGTTGTAGCGGAGCAGGCTGCGCAAGGCCCTTGAGATGGGCGGGACAGCAAACCAACAAAGCTAACTGGCCGCACGTATCGGGATGTCATGGCACTACCACCACGAGAAGGCCAGATTCACATAAGCGACCGAGTGACGTCGAAACATGTGGACGTAGGCGGGCGATCGAGAAGTGCTTACAACGCAACGTTCGAGCGGCGATGCGTGGATAATTTGTACTGCGGAAATAGCTTTGCCTATCGGGCTTGCTAGCGACGTGCTGCCAAGAATGCCGGTGAATCCTTTGCGGGGTGGAGAGAGGCGTTAGCATAGGGCACTGCTTTCGGCTGCCTCTATTACACGCTGTGAACGCCGTACAGAACCAAACGGAATGCATCTGCATAGCAATATCCATGGATGAGAGCTGAGTCAAAACAGTATCGATTAAGCTGTCCCCGCACGCGCGCATGGTTGCAGCCGCAGCCAACGACCAACCGCGTTCGTGGCTCCGGCTCCCCGCTGCCTGGGATGCCGATTGGAGGAGCTAGTATAAGATGCCCCGTGGTATCGACTCCTGGTTCTTCTCAGTCAGGTAATCGTGCATCCTGCCCCAAAAACGCGTTCATGCAACGCGAATCAGGTGCTGATTTCCTCCTGTTGTAGTCTAGTGTGGCGCCACCCCCCAATCTACGTGCTTTGGGGTCTAGCGTGAATCCCCACAATATCGCATGCTCCTGGTAGCAGGATGCGCAGTAGAGCCAACTTCACTGACAAGCAACATTCTTGCCTTTCATTACTAGTTGTGGTCGGAGCGTAGATATGGCAACAAATTGGATCTTGTTAACACCAGCGTCTATCGCTAACCATCTTGTACGTAATGCCGATTGCCAGATGAGAGTTACTGATCGCTGATTGCGCATTCTCTATTTCAAAGCAACATGAGCCGATTGCTTTAAACTATGTTATGTTCGTCGCAAGCGAGAAAGGAATTATCTGCACCCTCTGTTGCACCGCAGTACCTGTCACGGGCTTGGACACCCACTTGCGAACTTGCCACCATGTTCCTCCCAAACTACGGCGGGTTACGATGGCACGATTTGACAACGTGTCCGCTGCGCAAACCTTCAATGATCTATTGCTTACCTACCTACCTACCTACTTATCTACCTATCTACTTGCAAGCTACTGCCTAGAATTCCACTGCTATTGCATAGTAGCGCGGGTTCCGCTCGTTGTCTTTCGCATTGACGCAGGTTCCAAACCCTGTTTTCGTCTAACTACCCTAAGAGGATCAGTTCAGTCCTAGTATATGATGCTTGGTGTATTGGTGCGTATTTCGAATAACACGGGTATCGCACGATTTAATACTGCGGATTGCAATGCGATTTCCCTATCCGATATGACAAGAATGTTCGGGCCGGAACATCGCTCAAACGCGTAACATCGGTGTTCGCGTGCCGACCGACTTCGCGTAACGACCGACCACCAACATCACCACCCCATCAAACTTGAAGCTGTAGAGCCACACCACAACGTTATATACAGCTAACATGCTAGTGTCTCACTAAATAGACCCTCGCGAATAATTTTTTCTATCTGAATTTCGTTGAGAGCTTGGTGTTGCGGCCAAAACGGGTCACGTGTGAAGGTGGCGGTGGTGCAGCACTTGGGGCTACACTTGAAGCTGCACGTCCACCCACTTGCTTCTGACGCTTCCGCTGCTTAGGCAGTGGTCTGGAAGCTTTGCGATTGCTTTGTTGTGAAGTTTGGAGACCTTTTTGGCGGTCTCTCTCTGCTTTCTCGTATGCCTTACGCCGCGCTTCTGCTGCCTTCTCCTTCTCCTTCACCACCTTGTCTTTCTCTCGTTTCTCACGCTTCTCTTGGGCAATCTTCTTGTTGTATAGTGTATTAGCAGCCCTAAGCTTCTTCATCTCAACCTTTTTGAGCTGTTCTGCAGCTTCTGCTTCATCCTTTGCTGCTTGTTTAGCCGGGCTTTCTTGAGTGAACGAGGAGAGTAAAATGCAGCCTCCCCATCAAGCTTACGCTTCCCTTTGAGTGGGAGGCTTCGGCCATTCTTCTTACGCTTATTCTTAGTGTCAAGCGATGCAAGTAACCCTAACCAACGGGTACTCACAGACGGAGATTGATCCTACAGCCGACTGGGCGTTCTATGTGAGGGATAGGGATGACGATGAGCCGATATCACGGTTGAGGAAGTTGCAGTTGATCAATAAGAGCGGGACACTTGAGCCGAGTGAAGGTGTGGACTTTACGGGTAAAAGAGGTGATTCGCTTGTGGAGTCGAGGTTGTAGGGTAGTAGAAGGATGGGATTGTGACTGTATTTGTGGTGCAAAGGAGGGTCTGCGCAGGCGGTTCGAATCAGGGCTAGCAATGTATATGCATTATTCTCACTTTGAAAAGTGATGAATGCATCTTAGAAGTTTTGATAGGTATATTATGGGCTTGCTCGATGTCCTCAATCGTTTCCATCACGTACCAGAGCCTTGGACATCACATGGGCCTAGTTTACACCGCGTTCCATCGAACGTAGATGAACCTTGGACGTCACGCAAAGACCTCCGCACTCCAAGCAAGCGGCGAAACGTGAAAAAAAGGAAGAAGTGAAACGCGAAAAAAGGCAAACACGTACCCGCTCTTGGTACGAACGATGAGGGAACTGGTCGAGGATAGACGCGACACCCACGCGTGCTGACTTAAGATTTGCGCTAGAGCAATCCGGCTCCCCAACCCGCGGCGCCCGTCGATTCTGCCGACCCACCAGCGAAACACTCCGATACTGCTCGCGACCAGCACCCAATTACTACGCTTGGAAACAGTGACCGAGCTTTGGAGATCCGGAGATTACGAGTTCCAAAATTTACAGCTGATCAACGACGACCGAACAACTCGTTTGAGGGAAGCGAGCAGCGCACCCCCAGCATCGCAGGCAAACAAGCCAGTGGGTAAACACCTCTGTTTCGAATTACGCGACTCGAAGCTTGTTTCCAAAGCGTCCAGAAAAAGCTATTTCCAGCTTTGCCAAACGTGCCAGACCCTGAAAATTCGCGTCACAAGTCCACGATTCAACCGTCTGGATCTTCTTCGGTTAACGAGAATCGTCCTACCTCACCATCCTGAACCCAGCGCGCCAACGCACAGACATTGCCTATATCGGGCTCGGAAACACAGGCGATGTGTTTCGGTAGTTTACTATTTCGATACTATGCGGACGAATAATCGTCGGCCTGGTACAAGCCATGCGCGGCAAAATCGTATGAACGCTGGGGTATAGCGAGAGACGCCACGTCGTGTTAGTGGTGTAAGATATGCACTTTGACTGCGTCTTGACGTTTCGGACAACGGGTTAGGGTCTTGGAGAATAGAGTAGGGGACTTTATACGCGAGTAAAACCGATAGGAAGGATGAAGCGAGGAGGTGTATATATTCTGCTGCCTTTCACCGTGAAGCAACATCATCATCCAACAAGCTTCTACTTCTCTCATCAAATCTACAAAGCCTTATCAACCAATCTTCTCTTATACTATTACTGGCGGCCAGTTTCTTTAATCCCCTACCAAATCTTCAATCAACAAGTAATTAGTCAACATGCTTACTTCTCAGATCTCCACTCCCCTTAACGGTGTCGATGCCGCTACTGTCATTGCTGCTCTCCACAACCACGACCTCATGATCAAGACCCTCTGTCCAGCGCTCATTAGCTATGCCTTCGAATCTGGCGACAAGGCTACTTGCGCTGTCTACACCGTCACCGACAAGAAGCCTCTGGGCCAGGTACGACTACCCTTTTCTCTCCATTCTTCTTCTTCTTTACTGCATTATTAACCTGTTGCAGCAAACCTACAAGCTCACCCTGACCAACGTCCCCGATGGCGTTGACACCCTCGTCAACGCCAAACCTCCCGTTGGCGTCCTCAACATCAGCGGCACGTGGCGCGTTGCCGACGGAAAGCTCAGCGAGGAAATCGAGATAGATGCCAACTTTATGATGAAGAAGGTCGTTAAGAGCAATGTTGAGAAGACGCATCCGGAGCAGCACATGAAGCTTTTGGAGGCTGCTCATGCTTGGACGAGTAGCATAATGACATGATGGAGATGGACGAGAGGGGATGCATTAGCTAGAGTAGTCTGTTGAGGTTAAGACTAATTCCTAGTGGTATAGTGGGACAAAAGAGGGGTAAAAGAGCTTTTATCCGGTCTTTCCGAGGACTTCATGACTTCTATAACTAAAGCTTATTTGTCTCCGAATACTCCGACAGATCGATTTAGAGCTATTATCTCAGCTTTTTGCTCTCCTCACACGTCTTGTTATCACTCTTATACCTAAGCAAATAATAATAGAGTGAAGTTAATTGAGGTGCAATGCAAAAAGAGGGCTTTTCCTATATTAATATTAAAAGTTTTTGGCGAATTCAACGAATTCGAAAGATCAATTTACTTTCTTAAGGGGGGTCCATAGGTATGTTTTCGCAGCGATAATAATATAATGCCGTGAAGCAATTTCCCCCAACGTATGTCATAGTTCGCTACTATGTAGCTATATGCAGGCGAATTACGCCTCAAATGGAACAGCTGTAGCCTTCCTAGGGGATCTCCATCGTGTTGGGCGTGAAGAATCGAAAAGTACCTAGGTAGACCCCGGGACTTCTGATGTCTCGCCAAGACTTGGCCATGCAGCACGAGAGGCATGGCGTTCTTGAAGCTCTTCCCGAAGCCGATCACAATACTAAGATGATATGATCGGCTAGGAAAATCCGAAATGTTACACCATCTGCGGTGAAGTATGGTAGTGGTAGGACGCATCCCGGATGGCGGCTGGTGAAAGCGTACCTAGGTAATGGTTGCTTGAATGACGTATTTCCAAGTAAGCATTGCATGCGTTAAAGAGTGTGAGAGAGAAGCTAGTATATGAAAAAGCCTGGCTGGTTGGTTGGGTCATTCCTACTCGGTTTCAACCACGGAGCCCATAGCTATGCCCGATTGACAGGCGTAGCAGACGGCTGACGTGGTGGTGACGTTGACCTGCGTGGTATGGGGTTCTTGCGAGCGTACGCGTGTCGTTGCCTTGGCCAGCTCCGGAAGTTATGGGGAACCATGCGCTTGAAGCCCGCGAGTGGGAACGGTTACCTAAGTACCACTGAAGTTCCAAGATGAGTTGTATCACCAATATCAAAAGATGCTGGGCAACAGATCTTCATCGGACATGACTTCGGAACCCCAATTGTTACTCAAGACCTATGAAATTATTGTTTTGCTTAAAATCGGTGGATTTCAGTGTTTCCTGAGTTCGATATCTATCAGTATCCCTGAACCTGTCAGACTACAGCAACCGATACATCTGTCATGCCTGGACTTACGAATCGCGACTCCCACATGGGTTTCAAGCCAATAGGATCATACCCACCCACCGGAATTGATGTCCTCATTGTTGGAACTGGTTTAGGTGGACTTTCTGCTGCGCTCGAATGCAAGCGCAAAGGCCACGAGGTCCGAGTGCTTGAGCGAAACGCCGACATTAATGTAGCTGGTACGTGTTACAAAATTCTGCGTTGCAACTAGAACATGCTGACCAATAATTGTAGGTGACATGTATTTCATGGGGCTCAGTGGAACTCGCTGGTTCAAGCACTGGCCCGAAATCCAAGAAGTGTATCGCGACATCTCCCTTCACAACGCCTGGATTGAAACGTACAAACACAGCGGAGAGATTATGATCCCACCCAAAAAGGTCTCCGAACGTCTCCGCGCCGCAGGACTTGATCCTAACCTTGCACCTGGAGAGTTTCAAATGCGCCCGCTGGTTTACAAGATGTTCCTCGATGCCGTTGTAAGGACTGGTATCAAAATCGAGTTCAACCGGAAGGTAGTGGACTACTTTGAAGACGTTAGAAAGGGGGGCTGTGTTACTGATGATGGCACGCGGTACGAAGCAGACGTTGTGATTGCGGCCGACGGAGTTGGCTCGAAGAGCCAGAAGCTAGTTGGCGGGCAGGTGAGAGCGGAGTCTTCGGGACGTGCTATGTGGCGTGCTGCGTTCCCAAGAAAGCACTTGGATAAGAATCCTGAAGTGAAAGAGTTCTTCAAGATGCAGCCGGGTAACGAGCCGATTGTCAGAACATTCTTGGGGTATGTCAGCAAAGCCGAACAGATAACTACATTTCAGTACTAACTCCTGTAGGCCTTCTACCTATGCTTTGACACTTTCGCGCGAAGATGTTATGGTCTGGATCATGAACCACGATGTGAGTAATACTTTCCCTCTCCATTTACCGACTCATTCTGATGCCTGTAGGTCACTGGTAGCGAAGAAGAGAACTGGAATCACACCATCGACGCCGAGGAAGTACTTCAAGGCATTGATGATCTTCCTGGGAAATGGTGCAACATCTTCAAAGAACTGGTGCGAATCACGCCTCCTATACCATCGTCAACTTCCCCCTCTTCTGGCGCAACCCACAGCCAACCTGGGCATCACCTGCCGCACGAGTGATTCAGGTCGGCGACTGTGCGCATTCGTTTCTACCGTCATCCGGTAATGGAGCTACACAGGCGATTGAAGATTCGGTTTCGCTTGCGTTCATGCTTGCAGCTCGGTGGAAAAGAGAATATCGCTGAGTCTGTCCGTGCACATGTCCGCATGAGATTCATCCGAACTGCTTGCGCGCAAAAGATGGGATTATACAACGCCGAACTCCTCCAGTCCACTGATTGGGATAAAGTCAAGCTGGACCCACGGCGCGCTGCCCCCAAGCATCCTAAATGGATTTGGGAACACGACCCTGAGGCTTACGCCTACGAAAACTATGACAAGGCCATCGTGAGCATGGAGACGGGTGTCGAGATGGAGGAAGAGGATAGTTTCGAACCGAATTACCCTAAGGGTTATAGGTATGAGCCATGGGATGCATTTAAGATTATGGAGGATATGCGGAATGGTGTAAGCTTGGAGCTGAAGCCTGGAAACTGGGATTAGGCAAAGGGCCAGGAGTTTGTACGCCAGTGG